CAACAATTAGGGCATTCATATAGAGCCTGCTGTCAATAAAAAATAAATAAATAAAACTAATCAATGTTGCAATAAAGTATAAAAATAACTAAAAAAACTATATGTGTACTGTAGTATAGATTTTCCAAGTTTTTAATCCATTTTAAATCTTTAGTGCAGAAAAACTTTTAAAGGATGTTTTTGCCACTGTAATCTTAAAATGTTTTTTTTAATTAAAAAAAACAAAAACACACTCACTCACATAGTGTGAGCCTCTGATGGAGTCCTGCATTGATCCGGTCCCAGATTTAACAGCCACACCAGTATGTATGGTCTGGAAAGGTATGGCGTGCGAGTTGACTGCACAGATGACTGCCTCTTTTTGTGATGTAAAATGTGAGATAAGTAAAAATAGCCTTGAATGTTATTTAAATGTGAGTGAAAGAATCCTCTAACAAGGACGTTTATGTTTTGTCTTCAAGTTCAGATGTTACAGCTGGAGTTCATGCTCCTCTATATCTGTTATCGTCTAGACCATCCTTAGCTGGTCCGACCAGTTGGCCAGGCTCCATTTTTCTCTTTCTACAATCATAGGAAGTAAAGCACAGCTGTGGCTCTCTTTTCTAAGAGAAAAGACTAAGAACTTATAGTGATGTCCATAGAATGTGGTTTTAAGCTGTTTTTTAATGCCACAAGAGGGCAGCACATCTACAGGTTACATGACTTTTCACCAGAAAGGAACATGTCTGTGGATAAAAAATGATTACCTGCTAGGAGTTGGGTAACTTCATTTGCTTAATCATTGATTTTTAGCAGGTCATATAAGGTCACTATTTTCCAAGAGATGGTGGAATATGCTCAGTCTCATGTGTGTTGAAGACTGAGAAAAGCGATGAAGATACTCTGGTTGCTGGATAAATGTAGATAAAGTACGAGTTGAGATAACTGAAGGAGAGGAGAGATCCAGTGGGCATGAAATCAGATCTTGTTGTTGCATAATCATGGCTTGCAGGCCTTCCCAGTGTGCACCAGGCTCGATGCAGTCCAGTATCACATGACTATACCAAGCAGCTGCAGTTTTAAACCAGTGATACCAGTACACCACCAGCCTGAGGCTGATTGGGATCACTAGTTCTGTTCTTATTTGTGCTGAGGCATGCTCTGTTTTTCCCCTAAAACACACACACAAAGTGGGCGGTTCAAGTCCTCATTGTGTCCTCTCATCTATAGTTTATTCCCATCAGTGTGTAACCATTTTTTTAGCCTGCAAACGTCTTCTGCAGAGTCCTTGCTTCTCATTGGCTCCTGTCATTCATGTCATAACGTCCTGCCTTTCACATATCAGCAATACCATGACACTGAGGGCCCGGATCTTCTTGACATAGCCTTCCTCCGTCATCTGTCTTCTCTTTTTCCCTTTATCTCTAATTCAAAGCCTTTATTCACATGCCAGCAATACCAGACAGCATACCAGTCGTCAGGACATCAGCGGCGGCCCGCACCTCTTCCTGCAGCTTTCCTCCCCTTCCTGCCGTCTTTCTCTCATGACTGTTTCTCAGCTCATGCGTGCCATAGGAATAATGAGAAAGCGTTTACTTTCGCTTGAGCAGTACATTATTTCTTTTTAACAGCAGGTGGCACCAAAGTCCCACCATCCTGAGAAAATAAAATCACCACTGTCTTTTAATTTACTGTGTCACATCTGCCCCTCATGAATCTATCTTCACAGGCTTTGTGGTGCTACCCATCCTGGTGGCAGAAGCCCAAAGAGGTGGACAAGCAGTTCTCTTGCTTCTGTTTCAGGCCACGATGTGAAAGACAGACACACACAGAAAGACCGACCGCCTCCTGGCGTCACCCAGCCTGGCTGTGTATATATAGGCTCTTTCATACCACACCGCTTGGCTCGGCCCCAGCTCACATATACCTCTGCTGTGCTGTTTTTGTGTGCGTAAACATTTTTGGAGTGTGCCCACTTGTGTTGGAAAGAAAAACAGCATGTGTTTGGTTCTTGGCAGCAAAACCCTATGTACATTAAATTGCATAATACAAACATGGTAGTGGTTTCGTAAGACTTTTTTGGCACTGAAGTAGGGAGTTGTGTGGTTTCTGTCAGTATCACCTCTGTCAGTGCTGGGAAACTTGGAGACTCTAAAGCTGGCCTCTCTTCTTATACATGCACTCAGGTTCCTGGAGCCTTGATATACTGTGTGTGTCTGTGTGTGTTTGTGCATTGCGGTCCACCAGAGTATTCCTGGAAAGCTTCAGAGCAGGAGCGAGGGTTGAAGGGGGCAGGGCTATTCCACAGCCACACACCAGCCAATGATGACCGCTTTCTGGAAGCTTCCCTGTCATTAAAAACGAGGCAGAGAAATGAACAGAGATGGTTTATGGGTATTTTATTTTAACCTCTGTGCCCTCAGAAGCTTCATCTTTTAGACAGGGAAAAAAAAGAGAGGGAGAGAGTAAAGGCATTGCTGTTTGGCTGGCACCTTTTATCCTCATCAGTATGCAAGGAGATGCACTTACAGTTCACCACATTGTTGCACAACAAGAATAAGAGTGTAGGGAGGGATGGGCTGGATGGAGAGAAGTGATGCCAGGTGGAGGAAATGGAGGAATCAGCAGAAGAATTGCAGAAGAAGAAAGCTCAAATTAACTTAATGAAGGGGCTGCAAACAGAGCAATAAAATCAGGGATAGTTGAGGTGCAGGAAGCAGGAAGACTGAATAGGAGGAGCATCAATAAAACCCATGCTAATTGTGCCTCCGTGGTCTGCAGTGTTCACTGCCCCACACCTTTTAAAAGTCACGTTTTCTTGCTGTTGATATTCTCCCTCATACTCCTGCCTCCTGTTGTCTTCCTCCTCCTCTTCTCTACCTCCAGCTGCTGTTGTGCAACTCTGCAGTGACTGATGGAGCAGCTACAGCAGTGCCATTGATCAGCACTTTTGGTGCCAAGCTGCCCTTATTGTAATAAACGACTTGGAGCTATGAAACCAGTCCCGAGTATTTTGCGGCAGCAGAGGAAACACACACACAAATGCCACACTGCACTTTTGCACTTATATATGATGTAATGCGGAATAAGTTGGATTACTTTTAAACTTAACCACGTGCCTGGATTCATTATTTTGTGCTTCTCATCCCTCAGGACACGTGCGCAAAACGTAATGAGATCTTTTATTTTGCTATTAGAGAAATTATTAACCAAGTAACTTAGGATTTTTTTAAACCATATCCTCCTAGATTATCTGGGCTTTCCCTGTAATTAAGCTGCTGTTGGAGAATTTAGAGCAAATGTAACATTTCTAAAACCCTAATTTGCCGTTACTGCAACACACAATGCTGTCCTGGATTTTGAGCCTTCATTGCATGTCATCTTCCCCTTCTCAAAGCTTACTCAGCCGTATAAGAAAACCACATCTCCTCTTCGCTTTCTGTGGTCTGGCTGTCTACCAAATTTTAGCTCAGTTCTTGCCCTCTTTTCTCCTCTCCAACTCCTCCAAACAGTTTTTGTTTTTTTAATAAATCCATTAAAAAGCCAAGCTTGACAAAACAACAGCTTTGCTTTATCTTTGGTTGTAGTCGGTGTACACAGATTATCAGGTGGTGTGAAGATTATCTGCCAGGTGAAAGAGCTTTTTTTTTTTTTTTCCTTCAGGATGGAAACAGACACACATGGGCCTAGCTTGAGGGGATCCAGTCTCACCTTTATGTCCGCTTAAATTATCCTCCAACTCATTTCATTATCATTTCTGAGGAAGGTGCTGGGAAAAAATGTGGCTATTACTCACTAGCAAGTCAGGATTGATCATTGTGCTCATCTGTACCTAATGCACGGTCAAGAGTTCCTTGGTATAGTAGATGGGGATTAATAGGCATACCCACCCACCCCCTTTTTATCATTACAAACCAACCATGTAATCAGCTGTGATTACCGTAGTTTTTCTTTATTAAACCACATCCTGTTAAAATCTTAATCCAGTGTTTATATGCCAGTAACAAAAGAGCCGAATAGTGCTCCTGGAGTTTAATGTAAAGTGACTATATGCGCGTTAGAAAGCCACAGATACACCTGGAAGGACTACTTTGGATTTAAATGGCATTAATGGATCCTCAGCCCTATTCTTAGCGTCAAATCTGTCTCACCCTTCAGGCGCTGACAAGATCCGTGTTGGGGTGGTGGCGTCTGGTTTGCGTTCAGCCTATATGGAGGAATATAAATGTGTATTTTTAGCTCCGCTGATAGGAAACGCGGTTGAAACATGAGATCCTCCGCGGGACCCTGTGTGGAGAGAAGAAAACCGACTCGCTTCGATCATCATTCTCCATAAAGGGACCTTTTTTGGGTTTTTTTTTTTTTTTTTTATGTTTTATTGTGTTTAGGGGTCACTTTTATATCGGTTTTATGCCGCCGAGTGGAGCCTGAGGAAGGGATGTAGATGTGGGAATATTGAAAGGATTCAAGTTACATTGCTTTCCTCTCTTTTGGAGTAAAGCGCGGTGGTTTGCGTCAGCGAGGCTGTGGACACAAAGCCGAGCAGTCTCAACCAGACTTCGTGTTAATATCACTAGATTTTTTCCAACTTACACCGACCACATGTCACCGGTACGAGGTCTGGCTTTGTTCTAATCGCAACTCCTGCAGCATGAAGACTCGTTAACCCTGCCCCATGCACGGAAACTAAATCGAGTCGGGAACCAAAGGAGTAGGAGGAGGAAGAAAAGAAGGAGGCGACGGAGTGGAGGACTGGGGAGAGGAACGGTAGAAAGAAACAGTTGTGGAGGAGTGAGAGAGAGGGAGAGGTCTGCAACAAAAAACGAGAAAAAGGCGTTTGTTTGTTCTGCAGCGGTCCGGAGGGAGACGCGGCGCGGTTCGTTTGTTTCGAGGTGCGACAGTAAGAAAGAAACACCATCAATTCTGGATTTCTTTATCCGCTTCCTGTCATCCAGGATGAGATTCAAAAGGAACGGGTCCTATACGTTAAATAGGTAAGAGTGCGGAGCAGTGCTGCCAGCGTGTGTCTGTATGGAGCGCGGGGGGAGACGTGTTGTCATATCCTGAGCTCCTAAATCAGTTCACGTTCTCTCGTAGTGCTCCGAGGTCTCTTTATGGCATCTCTGTAATGTTCTAGAGTAACGCTTCATGTTGCTAACGGAGAGTTTGGCTACTTTTCTACTGCAACATCAGCGATATTGCTGTGGTATTAGCTGCAGCTTGAGTCTTTGAAGGCTTGGTCTCTGCTGGCGTGGACATTAGAGGAAACTTTGTATTTATTTATAATGCACTTACACAATTTGAGTGAGTTTGTCATTTTAATGACAGCCTCAGAGTTGATTACCTTAAAAGCATTGGTTGATCAGACGGCTGTTAAATCCTTTAGTGTGTCAGCTCGTTTAACCGTTGGTGCCCTTTCACCAGCGTGGTACTCATGTGTAATTCAAGTTTCTGTAGCTGGATGGGGAGAAAAACCTGTTGGTCTCGCTTTTTTAGGGGTTGGGCTCTTTCTTTTGTTTTCCCTCTTTTCACTTAGTGAAACGGTGTTTCGTCCCTCTCTCCCTTCTTTATCCTCCCCTCGCTTTCCCCTTCCCAGGAATACCCTTTCTTGAGGTTACATCACCTAGCAACTTTGTATGTAGCGGCATGAATGATGTACCTCTGCCCCCCCTCCCCAACCGACCTTGCCTTTGCATGGTTGCAACAGCCTTCATTCATATACCAGTGTTTCAAAACCAATCACGAGTCAGGTCTTTCCACTGCTCATCGGTTCACTTTGTCTCTTTCTCTCTCCTCATCGTTATCAGTCCAAGTCACACGTTTGTACAAAAACGTTTTTTCTGCTTTCCTCCAAATGAGTCATGCACAGCCCGTGCAACCGTTACTCCGGATGTCTTGATTTTATGGTTGGCTTGACTTATTTGGCAAAAACACATGCAGATGGAGACCCACAAGAAGCTGGTCACATTGTTGAAAGTGACAGTTGATTTAATGGCAGTTTCATTTCTTCCCCTTTCCCCTTGGCACTCCTTTTCCCCTTTGGCTTGTTATAAGATGTAGGACTTTCCGCTGTGCTTTATACACACACACACACACACACACACACACACACACACACACACACACACACACACACACACACCACATCCTGACTCTCAGGTGCTTGGAAACAAAGGGAGCTAACGAGTGCCAACACTCATTTCATCACGCGGTTGAAAATGCAAGTGATATTATCACTGCATACGTGCTCCACCTCTTTCTTTTTTTCACTTAGGAAGTGTGTGTGTGATGTAGTCATGCTCCACATATACTTTCACATCTGTGTGGATGCAGGTGAGAGAGAGAGAGGAATAATTAAGCTATGACAGAGGAGGCCTTAAAGCTGAAGCTCCTGTTAGCACTTCTCCAGGGAGCAGAAGGAAGAAGATGAGGAGGAGGAGAGCTGACGTCATTGCTGCTGCGGTGCTTCTTTGTCATCTTGCATCTCAAAGACTTGTGCGCAGCAGGGTAAGAATAGGTTAGGCGAGAGAGTCTACAATCACTGCTGGCTTGTTTGTTTGTTTGTTTGTTTTCCACATTCATCTCACAGTTCAGAGCTTCTTTGAGAACTCAACGGCAGAAAAAGAGCAAAGCCCCCCCCCTTGCTGCGGTTACATAACTGCCATCTTCTGAAGGTGACTGTCTCCTGGCTCTGCTATCTCAGTCTTTTTCTTGGCAGGCTGCAGTGATTTGTTTTCACTAAACAGCAGAGTGGATTCGGTCTCTTTGACATTGAAGCGTCAGTATTCACTGGCATAGGCTGCCTTCGTTATGCTCAGTTAATCCTGTGTTTGTCTGGTGTGTCTGAAGCCTTCGATTTAAGCAGCAGACATTGATCTGTTCTCTGCAGTCCCTTAAAGTGCTTATGTGTGTTTTGAGCAGTGAGGAAGTGAATGATGGGGAGCAAAAGAAGCTGAATGTTTTTATTTGTGTCCTTCTCCTTATTTGCCCGCATCATAACTAGAGTACTCTGCAGTGATTGGCTCACTTCCTGGAGGCTTGTCTCTGCGCTATCCCCTCCCTTACCGTACCTATGCATCATTTATATGAATGAACAGTCACAGGCACTTATATGTGCTCAAAACGCCGTATAACCTTGTGCTGCGTGTTCATTCCCGTGTTCAGTCCTTTCTCGATATTAATGCAAGAGCTGGCAATCACCTTTCTGCAGTTACGATGACGGTGCAAAACTGCGAGTCTGTCAGCTTCCTGAACTCCTCGACTTTCTGCAGAGGTTGGACAGGATTTGACTCAGACTTCGATTTAGTAAACATTGTGTGTTTGGTCTGCGATGGGTGGAGATGGGATGTTTAGCCCTTGTTTAGGATGTATACAGATGTCAAGATTACTGCCTCCCAGGGATTTTCATCCCCTGCCCCCCAATGTCCCTCCTTTTCGCTCTACCCTGCAGTCCACCATGTACTGCCCAGCAGTCAGCAGTTTGTTTATGGGACTCTGTTTGCCAAGCTAATCTTCCCGCCTTTCAAGTGTGAGCCAGCAAGTGGGAGGGAGGGAGAGAGGGAGAGAGAGCGAGCGCAAGAGTGTGAAAGTGAAGCAGGCAGTTGCAGTAGTTGGAAAGGAGCGAGAAAGAGAAACCTGCTCAGAGAAGTGCGTCTAGTTTTGTGAATGGTTGTTTGTTTTGAGGTGTTTTTCTCTGCCCGTCCGGCCAGCTTCGTGAGTGACCTGCGTTGAAGTCGAAGGTCTTTGCAGCAGACATATGATTACACTCAGTGCTACGTTGGAGCTGGGAGCAGTTTTCCTGGTGCACCTGTAGCAGAGTTTCAAACGGGAGCAAAAACGGGGAGGTGAAACGGTATATAGGGTGCTGTGGTTTGGAGCATCGTCACCTTGGCTCTGCTTGATCGACTGCTGGATGGGGGTGCTGGTGTGCTGTGACTGCTTCTTCTATAGGTATATTTTACGTGTCGACTGTTGACCTTTCATTCCCCTTTTGTTCTTGTTGTTTCTTGCTGTTGAGAGTATAATTTCTAGCAGTCTTTAAGTTAAACTTCAACTTCTCCATCTGATCCCTCCTCCCGTTTCCTCTCCTGCCCACTCGCTCTCTGTTATTGTGCTGCGGTTTGGGGGAGACTTTTGAGGACACTGCTGCTGTAACAGGCAGATATTCTGCTGTAGTCAGACACACACTGTATCTTGAATTGTGGGGAGGGCAAGAGGAGGGGGGGAGGCACGGAGTTGCAGACAAGGGGATGTCGATGGCTCATAGCCAGCCTCCGATAGCTGAACAGAGAAGCGGAGTGCTAGACTTTGGAGGTTATGGGTTTTGTTTGGAGGGTAGGTTAGAACTGGTTGAAATAAAATGGAATAGAGCCAAAAGGTAGCTCGTCAGTCATGCTTGCCCAGCTTCTCCTCTCATCCTGTTGTGTGCCCCTTTGGCTGTGCAACACTGTTTGTTTTTTTTGGACACAGTGTTCCAGCATAAAGGGACAGGGGAACGTTTTTCCTCTTCTTCTGTTTCCCCTGGTGTTTGCAGAACACTGGACTTAACAGACTTTGCTCTTTAAAAGAAAAAAGTAAATGTTCCCAGTTTGTTTTTTTTTTGTCCCCCCCCCCTGTTCAGCTGATCAG